GCTTCTTTTGGTCGCACCTCTCGTAGAGTCTGGTTAAATGAGGTGACGCAGAAAGCGCCAGGCAGATTACGTATGAAGAGACCCCGTAAGGCAGTCGCATTTCGAGAACCAATTTTCTTTAGCAAGTGCTATTGCGTATATCTCTGCCTTAGCAGTGAGGGTGGCAATACGTGTGTTGAGTCGGTGATTAAGCCTTTGTAGTTTCCAGCGTCTTGTGAGTTGGCGCCTGGCATCCAATAAATGCAAGAGATGGCTATCGACCACTGGAGCTTCAAGTGTAAGTGCAATAGTTTTCGTAACCTCGTTCTAAAAGTTCAAGTAAAGTGCCGGCTCATTCCAAGTAAGATGTGGAAGTTTGATGGAAAGGAAAATGGAGACGCTGCGTTGCATACGTGCGCCATCTGGCAGGAACCTCTGAAACAAACGCTTGTGCATAACGCAGAGCCGTTGGTTGGTGGCAGCACCATATTGTGTAGGCGAAGCGTACGAAGCACCCGCTTTTTTGTGCATGGCGTCACAGTGTCAGTGCTGCGTGATGAACGCCATGGTCCTTAGTATTACGCCTTTATGCAGCTTCTGGTATGAAGAAAACATAGCCCTAATACTTACGCATTCATGTTGTACTTCATGTACACGTATTGTTTGCTTTTTGATCGACAGTGTAGACAAGTAGGAATGCAGCCACGAAATCGAGAAGGCTCGGCTTTGAGAAAGTGGGTTATACATTGGCCGCGTGGCTTAATCGTTTCTGTTTGCAGACAGAGAGATAGACCGAAGTTTCTGCGTTGAAGTATCTCAATAAAAATATGTTTGCATGGCAGCTCCACTTCTGCGAAAACTGAGTATGTGCGTAGTCCAGGAGCACACCGATTCCCGTTCCTAAGTTCCCACGGCCCCGATTTAGGAAGCGTGGATAACACCAATATTTAGGCTTAGCATGTTTGGTTTCTAGGGTATAAAATCTTGCTAGGGAGATTCGCAAACGGGGTGTGTGACATGTGCCCTACTTTTTTCTGTGCTTCTTTGACTTTGTGCGTCTCACAACAGTTGAAATACCCGTCGCTTGAGAGCTCCGTCAGGTTGTGTGATGTTGTTGCAGCGGATATTAATAGAGCATGGGAAGTGGTAGATTGTTTTAATGGTCCAGATTTCACATCCTGAGATGACGAAATTACTATAACAAACACCATAGTGGAGATATTCGGAAATTCCAATCACCTGGAGAACTTTAGCGTTCGATCACCTTATCTAAGGCCACTCGCGTCTGCAGCATTTCTTAGATGAAAATTCGGGCACCGCGAACAGAATGCAATCCCGTCGCCTTCGGTCAGCAGTCAAGCACTATTACCAGTAGCCTATCGCGGTGAGTAGTGCGACAGAAAAAGAATAAAATACTTTTGAGGGTACCGGCTTCAGGTCCCATACATGTCAGGCAAATCACGAGCGGTGAGCATAGGAGCTGAAACCGCGTATCGGGTGAACCACGTAAGCTCAATACTCACGACAATGGCTAGGCGCATTGCTCAATAATATTTGCAGCGTATATGTGCTCCATTTTACGTTGGTCATAAAATTATATATCACTGAGTTGAGCCTTTAACCTCAATAAAAAGATGATTACCCGCTATTCAATTGGGTAAATTGAAGAAGGATTCTATAGATGAAGGCCTACCTGTACCTATACAAATACACACCCTAATCCTTGGCCTCCAGTCTAAAATTGCAACATGAAAACTCGTGGTTCATATACAAGCACAGCTAAAGTACTGTTCCAGAAGAGGCGGAAAGGTGCTCCGCTGTCGCTGAGGTAGAAAACGGCCATGGGCTGATGGTGCTCATCGTACAACATTCAACTCGCTTAGGCGAGTGAAAAGTTTTGGTGACGAAACCAGTATATTTCTGTTGCATTTTGCCTTTTTCCGCCCCTTTGACCCAAATATGTATGGGTGTTTAGACATTTCTTTCGGCCCAATCAGAGTCAGTCACCTCTGGAGCATTGATCAAGACGGCGACTTCAAATCACAAAGCCAAATCATTCATCTGACTCGTCTAAGTCACCAGCACAAAATTGTTTTATGAAGCGCAATTTAGCGATATATAGCCAAACCAGGTTGCATTTTAAAATTAAAATTAAAGAAAAAGTGAAGTGAAAAATGTGGTTGATCCCTCTTCGGGAAATTGGTATAGCACGAAAATGAAACGTGCGTTCACAAAAGATAGTTGAGCATTTTTTTTACACTGTTTCACCCCAAGGCCGAAGTAATGAATGCTATAGCAACAAAACGCAAAATCACACGAAGAACGGTCACCAGCTCGAAGCTTGCAGCACGCACCTCAAGTAGAGAGTACGCACGAAATGAGCATACACAAGACGTGCAAGACGTGCAAGACGTGCAAAACACGCTATTCGAACAGAAAGAGACTCGCAATACGAGCTGTTACAATTCTTACTTCTTGGAGTGATAGCAGCGTGCTCCTTTCGAGGATGTGGCAGCGACGGCGAGCAAAGTGACCTTCGTGCTCTCCCGAATCACAAGTCTAATAGGTTCGCACGCAGCAGACACCATGCTCTGTGGAGGCGGCAGTAATGGAAACGCTAGAGGCAATGACCTTGAGAGCAAGTCCAACGCGAGTCCTTCGTGCAATCTGGCCACTGATGACGAAAACGTGCTGAAGCTATGAAGTACTGAAGGCCGCCAAACGGTATATGATGTACATAAATAGCTTGTCGTTAGCAGCCTTTACAAAATCCGTTCCGATGTAATGGTTCGCGCCGCGCACAGCGGCTGAAGAGATCGCTGGTTTAACGGCCCTCGGCAGATCGTTTCGTTCTCGTTTTTAAAGACGATAGTCTTTCTTGATGATCTTCACCGCAAAGAATTTGGTCTGTCTGTCTGTCTGTCTGTCTGTCTGTCTGTCTGTCTGTCTGTCTGTCTGTCTGTCCGTCCGTCCGTCCGTCCGTCCGTCCGTCCGTCCGTCTGTCCGTCTGTCTGTCTGTCTGTCTGTCTGTCTGTCTGTCTGTCTGTCTGTCTGTCTGTCTGTCTGTCGGTGATCTTGTCTGTCCGCCGAAACTATATTGGCCCGAAGTGGCCAAAATTAAACCCCATCCGGCCGAACCCACCACTATTGCTCAAGGTTCAGGGTTAATACTTGTGCGATTGTCGATTGAGAAGCAATTATTGCGAATATGTGAGGCACGATAACAAAACGTCAATATTCTGTATCTGCGTCTTTATACTAGAATAGGCATACACAAGTAATTTTAATGACCGTAGTGATTATCACGCCACGCTTACAATGCAACGCTGGCACGAAAAGGCAAGTGTTTCCAACGCTTTTCTAAAATGACAGGTGACGGCACTCACCCGTCACTTTGCGTTCTGCAAGTTATCGCCTCGAGACGGGTGCGCACACCGCGCGCTTTGTTTTCCAAGATAACTGCCAGATAGCGCTCATGTCTTACGTGTGACAGGCCTCGATGCACTCGTTAGCCTCCACTGCACGCATCGAGGCACTCTAACACAGCACCTTCAGAATATCATTAACCCATTTTCTTACGCAGAATATCAAATAAACGTTTTGTTCACTCTATCCAGACGCAAGACTATTGTATTCTGATGACATTTTTAGTGAAACATGAAGATACGGGGCCAACTTTAATTCTCCGCAATCTGTTGAATTATATTTTACAACGTTATAACCATGACGAAAGTACGTCATTGGAGCCGTGGTGGAACCCGGCACAGAGCACTTTTGTGTTAAAAAATACTTCTGCCGGGCTTGTAGACGGGCTTTTGTTTAGATGTTGCCAAAATGATTGTTTATTCCCTCGTGTCTTGTATAATTTCCCTGCCCTACCACGGTTATCTAGTGGCTAAGATACTCGGCTGCTAACCCGCAGGTTGCGGGATCGAATCCCGGCTGCGGCGGCTGCATTTTCGATGGAGGCGAAAATGCTGTAGGCCCATGTGCTCCGACTATAGGGTACACGGTGAAGAACCCCAGATGGCCGAAATATCCTGAGTCTGGGGTCTCTTGGCGTCTACTACTATTACTACGACGTCTCTCTTAATCATATAGTGGTTTTTGGACGTTAAATGCTACATAGCATCATCATTGTATATGTCCTATCGGTTTCGTGCAGCGTGTGCGGGACACGGCGCATACACCATGGTGCGGGATGACTTCTGTGGCTCTCCCGCATCGGCGAGAACGTTCCCTCGGCGTACAGCGGCAAGCTGCTTCTGCAGCCGCCTATTCTGCCTCTCGAATTGGCGAAATCTTGGCTGCCATTTAATCAATGGCCTTCTAATGTGTTCATTTCAAACGTTCGACTCGCGGACACTCGCTTGCGTGACTTTCGATTTCCATATAGCCATGTTCTCAGCCTGGAAGATCACGTAACATGTGCGTCGTTTTTCTTGTCACCACGCGTTCTGATGAAAACGGAGTTGCACGCAGGGTGAGCTCAGTAATGATGGCTCATTAGACCAGTATGTACCAACACTAATCATACTTTCCTACGTGCACCACATGTGGCATCCAGGAAAACATAACACTTGCTCTACGCTACTGCAGCCATAAGGGCGCAAAAAGGCCGCACTGTATTTGCAGCGCGGCAGAAGCTTCGAGCTGCACCATATCATCACACCGTGGCAAAGCCTCATTCGTGCTATGCGTAGCATAAAAGCAATGTTGGTGTTCTTGAGGACTACTAACCTCAATGAAACCTTACGAATGACTCTGTGTTGTAGCGAATGACCAACGCCAGTGTGCGTTTAAGAATGTAGGTATTATTTTTGTTGAAAGCACTCATTGTATATATTACAGTAAATACCCGACTTCTGGAGCAGCAAGCCAGGTGAGAAACCAGATTAATATATTCATCAATATCATTCACATTTATATCTACAATATCAACTTCGTTAGTGATGTCATTGACTAAAAGTAGGACGCCTACTTCTCATCGCTCGCAATTGAAAATACATGGCACTTCCCACCTGCTCTCTCAACGGCCCCTTTGATTGCTATGGAACCGAGCTTCGTTGCCGGGACTCCAGCCAAGGCACCACGAAAAGATCCAATGGGCGTCCTGGCAAAAGAGACGATCACAACCTCCTGCGAAGTTAGATACGAATAAAGAAAACAAATCAGTATGTTTCAACTTTCTGCGGAAAGACAAAGGTACACCCTTGAAAAAGAAGACGAGAACTAATATATTGCGATATTATTTCTCAATCTTGCTGTGATTGGTATTTAATACTAAAAATTTGTTGACAACGCTAACGTATTTGTGTGCCCTGCGGGCTTGAAAGCTTTTGGTAGTTCGTGGTCACTCATCGATTATGTATACATATGCATTTTGCTAATAGCACAAGAAAATGTGTACAACTGTTATTGATTCGTTATGTTACAGTGCGAAAGGGAGATAACCTACTCAGGCAGACAAAGGACAGTGCTGTATGAATAAGATGCAAAGCGTCTGCGCAGTGTAATAACACGCTTCACGTCCTTGAAGAAACATTCTCTTCAAGGACGTGAAGCGTGCTAATACCTTGCGCAGATCGCCTTCTGCTAATCAATTATACCGTATACACATGCTTACTCGTGCGCCGCTTTGCGTCTGCATTATACAGCACTGTCCTTTGTCCGCGTTAGTAGGTTTTCTCTTTATTTTCGCGCCGTAATATGATGAATAAATAACAACTTGCCCAACTCACTACGCTCATAAAAAAAAAACTCTTCATTGCTTCGCTGATTGCTTCTACACATCTCAGGCCCCGAGTACGATGGCGCCACCAAACACTCACGTCGTGTTTTTCAATTATGGATCCGCGACGTAATCTCCGCCGCGGTTGTCTAGTGGCTAAGGTACTCGGCTATTGACCCGCAGAGCGCGAGATCAGATCCCGGCTGTGGTGGCTGCATTTCCGATACAGGCGAAAATGTTGTAGGCTCGTGTGCTCAGATTTGGGTGCTCGTTAAAGAACCCCCGGAGGTCGAAATTTTCGTAGCCCTGCACTACGGCGTCTATCATAATTATATGGTGGTTTTGGGACGTTAAAATTACATATTGGTCAGTCTGTTACGTAATGCACATTAGGGTTGTGTAGGAGGAGGAGGGGGAAGAAAAACAAGTGAAGAAGGCAGGGAGGTTAACCATGCACATGCCTAGTTGGCTACCCCATGCTGGGGTAATCAGAAAGGAGGTATGAAGATGAGACAGAAAGAGAACAGATAACGGATGATAAACTTTTCAGTAAATTGGCTGACGCGTGTGCAGTGGTGGCACTATACAAAAGTCAAAGGCGTTCATTCACATAGACTGGTAGTCCTCAGAAAGCGCAAGTGGGCTTTGACGGCCTTGTGAGCCAAAGAAAGAGTGTAGGGGTAGCCGTAGTAAAAATATCGCTACGTGCTGCGAACGACTCATGCAAACAAAGTGCCCAGAATAACCGGAGTAATAAATACCCAGGGTAATAAACAATGCTGAGAGTGACACAGGTTTTTGTGCTCCCCGTTCAAACAACTTGTAAAAGCCCTCTGTTACATAGCACCTTTACTTACCAATAAAATACATCTCACAAACATTTTCTGTACAACCATTTTGCATGTTTTCGATGGTTTCTCTCCCCCTTTGTGCAGCAATGTGAAAGACAAAAAACTGGATTCATATAAGTGAATGTTTTTCAAGGATTGGTCTGACATGTTTCAGTTCACGAGGCGTTTGTATAGGTTTGTTTTCACGACATCTACAATGTCTACCTAAAATGCTTCATTTGTAGTAAAAAATATACACATGCATGTTTATTTGAAGCGTTTCGATGCTTTATTCTTCTACTCACATCAAAACCATGCACGTGCGCGCGCAATGCGCATAAGAGTGAGGGCCTCTGTCAGGCCTTTGGCTCTTGCTCCTCTTTCTATATAAGAAGTAATTGGTTAAAACTAAACTTTAAAAATAATCTTTGAACTAAACATATACTAAGCTAAACTTTTGGCTCAACTGAATAACATTTCCCGATGATCATGAATCGAAGAAATATATAATAGGCGAGAAACCACGCAATGAAAAGGGTGCACTGTGGATCACACTTTGCATCCCTGTAAGCGGCCGTGTTGAAAAAATCAAATTATTTCACGTCCTTATCGTTAATATTTTCTCGACTAGACAAAAACGAAGTTTGCTGAGGATAGCCCTTACCTTACATATCGATTACACTCTCGATCAACAGAAGCTTTCATTGTAACTTCGCGGCATTTCTTGACATAGCGGTAAAAAAAAATTGCCCCACCTTGATTGAAATTACGCAAATACTAGCAACACAGTGGCGTATACATTGGCGTGTATTATACAGCTACACAGTGGCGTGTATTATAATTTCCCTTATTTGCTAATAGTCTCAATGCTGTATCTGGGGCGTGCATATGCTAATAATATTGCTATTGTTATATGACTGTTATTAACTTGTCATTAACTTCTTAATCTTTTCTTTAGAGATGTATAATTTGGGGGGTTAGGGACGTAGTACATTCTTAACATTTATTGTATTTGTGTCGAAATTGCTTAACGGGCCTCCAGCCACCTGCATAAATACACCAATACGAACAGTGTAAATAAAATTTTTCTTCGAAAGAACAAAATGTGGGTGATTATAAAGTTAAACTACACCTCGTTGCTTGCTTTCGAAATGGTCGTTAGCAGTTTATTCAATTGAATTGAGTTTATTGTGCAACAATGTTCCGAGGAGACTAAGCAGAAAAGCTGCACTAAACAGCTTGAGGGGAACCTTGAGGGGAATATTGGTGCAAACAGTCTTTGTCATGCAGACAGCACCAGCTTGTTACGCGAAGCAAGAAATGACGCGAAAATGACTTATCGCGTAATGTCCACTCATGCACGACTACGTAAAAAAGTGAGAGAATAAACTATTTTCGATACGGTATATTGTTTGCCACTAGTTTCTCGGCATTTAAACTTTTCTGTGAGCCAGAAGATCACATGCTTGTTATATTCAAGCAGGCTAGCTGCCAACCACATAAACAGCGGCTACATATAGCAGCTGGTGAGATGAATTATGAGTTTATTAAACTATTTCCACTTGCAGCATTAGGTTGTTCAGTGGTTTGTGCGCATATACATCTCTGTGAGCTGATACTTGCTGAGAAAAAAAGAAATAGAGAGAAATAAGCAGCGCTGCACGTGTGTGCTTTTTTGCTGTCCGAGATGTACTTTGACCTGTAAAGAACAATACAAGTTGAGTGAGAACTAACTAGCCCGATTCCAAACTAACGCCCCATAGCGGTGATGGTATATTCTTTTCGAAGAAAACTATTTTCCGGCAGCAGCAAATGATTTGGCCAGTCCTTAAACAGTTTGCTCGTTCCCATCTGTAGCTTCATCAACAAGTCACAGCAGATTAACAGCATGAACAAGTGATGTAATATTATAACGCCCCTGCTCAGGGCTTGCCTGCCCTGCAATACCACAGCACAAGACGCGAAAGCGTTGCACAGTCGACCCACACCGCAAAGGGACTACAAGAAAAATCATCATGGCGAAAAGGTACGCGAAATTTCTCTCTCTTTTAACATGCCTCGTAACATTTTCATTCTCCCGTAAGAACAAAATTGAATGATTACTGTTGTGATGGAAAACCTCGCGTTACTTGTTAGTTTCCCTGCTTTGCAGCCGAGACTTACCATGGTGCACTGTCAAAACTGGGGTGACTCAGCTCCCTCAACTTTTGTCAGTGGAGGCCAAGCGCACCCCTTGCCCCCCCCCCCCCCCAACCCGGCTGATACGCCTATGGAGCTACAGCTTCGTGTTCTAAATCACCTGACACAGCATGAGGTGCCACTGAAAAAACAAATATCGTGAAGGCCTACCACGTTCACAGCAAGGCTGCAAGTATAACACAAAATGCTCCCTGTGGTACTAAAAGTTATCCCTGGGCAGACAAAGCAATTCGGCTGGTCCCACGTACCTTGGGATTCGATGTTATGCGAAGTATGCCGATGGAAGGCGAACATGTATTGTTTGTTTTTATTGAGCGTGAGGCTACGAAGAGGAGCTAAATATATGTACGATTCCACGCACATACACGTTTAACACCCGCTTATGCTTTATATTTGCGGTACTTTACAGTTGCGTAACGATGCCAACAGCACAATGGATATTAGCAACATCTTGAGCGGTAACCTAATATGAAGAGCTGGTGTAAACACTGGTGCGCGCGAGCCCCCAACACTGCTACCCAAATCACGCTCAGTGAATCGCCCTTTAACTACAATTGATCTCAACTCGACACATCAGCTGTATCATAGGAGCACATATAAATGTTTATCAAATTGGACAGCCAGTACTGTAACCGAAATTGACATTTCAAGAAAATTAGGGCCTATTTGAAAAGAAGTTCCGAGGCCGGGCGTGGCTATGTGGCAGAATGCCTCATTGCCACGCAGAATGCTTGGGTTCGATTTCCGCTGTGACCCTGACATTTATTCTTTGCATTCTTCTGGTCAACACTGGCGATGTTAGTCTAACCTTGTCACGCGTCACGCACGGCGTACAGAAGAGATGAGAAAGAAAAGATTGATTGATTGATTTGTGGGGTTTAACGTCCCGAAACCACCATATGATTATGAGAGACGCCGTAGTGGAGGGCTCCGGAAATTTCGACCACCTTGGATTCTTTAACGTGCGTCCAAATCAGAGCACACGGGCCTACAACATTTCCGCCTCCATCGGAAGTGCAGCCGCCGCAGCCGGGAATCGAGCCCGTGACCTGCGGGTCAGCAGCCGAGTACCTTAGCCACTAGACCACCGCGGCGGGGCAGACAGAAAAGAAGACAGTATCACTCGGACAGTATAATAGATGGTGCTGTCTCAGAGAAGTACATGAAATGTGCAGTTGAGTGAGGATGTTCTAGATGGCGCTCAACCGCAACTCTCCGAGTGCCTGCTGCGCGGGCTGTGCCCATGGGTACGCGCAGAGCAAGTGCCTCTCTGAGTCTTTTAGATAGTCGCCGTACGGAGCGGATAGTTGGTGGGGCATGAACGAAGCAGAGCGGCGGGTGCATTAGAGATGCTTACGCTTGAATTCCTTGGCTCGCGT